CTGGGATAACACTGGCATTTCTGTTGTAATTGTGCCCATAAAATAAGGATTAAAAGGATATGTGATGATAATGGGTAATTAATTTGACAAGACGTGACCTTGATTTGGTGCTATTTGTGTATCAGAGGAGAGAATCTGTAAAGCCAAAATCAAAGAGACTTTTTATTTTTTATTTTTCAGGTTGTACGGAAAACGGTTCTTGAACATTTCATCCTAATTTAATTTAAAAATCCTTATCCATTTCTCAGCAGCTACCGGATACACCACAAAGTTCAGACTGTTAAGGCTGGTCAGTCCACCATGGAAATTCTATATGGAGATGTGGGCTAGAGGATAAAGGCCAGTGACTTTTTTTCTTTCTTTCTTTTTTTTTTAAAAGCGTAATTTCTTTGTTGATGTATTTGGTACATTTAGAGGAATTTTAGTCGTCCTGCTGACATTTTCTTGGCTGTCTATTTATTCATTGGTCAAATGTATCAACAAATTCTGAGTAAATTGTTATAGACTTTGGTTCATATATTCATGATGAGTCCTACTGAGTGACTCTCATTTATGATTTAATGCCAAAGGTGGGCAATCAATCCAAATATGGATGGTATCGATACAAATGTAGGTATCAGTACTGGATCAATACTATCGGTGGGGTCGATACTTTTTTATCCCCTAAGGTCAGGATGTAGGCCACTGAATTGTGTTACTTTTTTTTTTTTTTTGCTCACCACTTTCTATATTTGGTCTATTGGTTAAACCCCAAAAAACAACATCCGAGCGGCTGTGGGGATCATTGTTTGAGGTCACTATGGACAGATGTGTCCAGACGCTGGAATTTGATCATGGCTCTCCAATTAAGCAGCAGGCATCCCCACTTTCTCCTACTTCTCACATTTGTGATTTCAACAGCCAAGGAAAGCCAGGACGGTTAAAGAATGCCATTAGCCTAATGGACGGGAGCGCAGAATGGCAGGAATGAATGATTGCATTACGGTGCCATTTGCTGCAGACTGTACATTGACGTAAATAGTGCAAACAAACAATAACTGTCCATGTGCCCATTCTACTGTATTGTGATGTCTTGCTTGTGTGATACATGGGTTCAAGCTGGGGTCTGAGAGAGAGGGAGAGATGCTCTTATGGGCCCTTGGGACAGTGTGCGCAGGCTCGGTGGGGGCTAAGTAGCTCAGAACTGGATTTAGACACAACTGCCCCGATCCGCAAGGACCACTCTGCGAAAAATACAAGGAGCAGATAAGCGAGAAGGAGAGGGACAGCGAAAAGAGTATGTACAGGCAGGGAGAGAGCACTCAGCTTTTCTCTCTTTTCGAGCCATCTTGTCAAGAATGCTTGAATGGAGCCATTATGAGACCCAGATCCAACTAGTATGGGACAGTTTAAATAACAAGAATATGAAGTACATGGCTAGCCTTACACTTTCTGAAGCAGTGGAAACCCCTGAACCCATGAGGGGTTTAAATCCCATGAATGGGTTTTCTTTTTCTGGAATTTTCCATATTCTTTTCCCCCGTTTGCTCTGATGTGCGAGAAGAAAAATGTCCTTAAAAATCTCAGAAATCTGGCATTGCTTTATTTAGAGGATAAAAACATGTCATACTCACGGATCTAGAGAATGCAGTATGTATACGAAAGCTAAAGTCACATCGTAACTCAGGTCTTTGATGCTATTTTTATTGGCAGTGTTTAGCAGACTGTAAATGACCTATTTGTATGAAGGAAACAAACATATTTGATTTGTCACTATTTTGAATGAAGTCATTAAGAAGTGAAGTCATGGAAATTACACTAATTGTTATTGATGCTATTCCATGATTGCCAAATAATTACCGATGATATGCTGCTCACATCGTCACATTTACATGCTGCTCTCTATATCAACTCGTTAATGGCGGCGCTGTGATGCCCGATCGGGATCCGCTCTCACCAGCTGCACACTTGGGAGTCTGAGGGCGAGGTGGATGGAGCGTCTGCAGGGTGCCGTCACAGCTTTGACCCGGAGAGCGCCAATCGCGGCCTTGTCACGTTGAGTCAGTCGCGCTTCGTCTCTTTTCTTTCTTTTTTGGTCAGGTAATGTGAGACAAAAGCTGGGCTTTCTGCAACCTAACGCCTCTCTGTCAGCTGGCCACCCCTGCGGCTACCGTGAAGATTCATCTTTCTGGCAGAGAGTTGCAAGCTCCAGACTTCTTAAAGGCCTGCCATGGCCCGGAGCCACGTAAAGCAGGTAAACGCTAGCCGCATCAAGCAACCAACCAACAGGAGCAAGTTGGTAAATGATCAAAAAGGCCGAATTACCAAGTGACCTCCTTGCGGGCCTGATTCCTGTATGAATTCTCACACATCATTACAGGCGTTAAAACACTGGGATCTTTTAGGTTTCCCTTTTTTTTTTGTTTTTCTAATTAATACGCCACGTCTTGGGCACACTCGAGGTAATTAACATTGTTTTTTGCCAGCAACACACAGCAGATGGTGATTGAAAATAGAGGGATGAGTCGCTCAATCAACCACCATTTGTCTGTAGCCATTAATTATCTAGCGAAGAATACATTCAGTCCCCAAAGTTGATAGTTTGGGGAGGGGGGGGGGGAAGAAGAATATTGTCCTTCTGTTCCTCATTACTCTTTAACAGCAAAAACTGCTGAAACTAGAATGCCGGATAGGGAGATTGCGACTTTAATAGCACTGTCATTATCTTCTCCCATAAGGTGCCATATGATGGAAGGCTTGTAGGAGAAAAGAGGGGGAAAAAAATGGCGCTAACAAAAGAAGCGTTTCAATAATCGAAAGCCAGGCAACATCTTGCGGTTCATTCTGTTTCGATTCATCAAAGGCCACTTTCAGAAATGATAGGAACCAAATGCACAGTTTTATTCGAGACGATGGTCTGCAAACCGCCGCGGGAAATGTTTATTTTCTCGACAATCAAATGGGTGCCAGCAGGGTCACATGACTCCTGCAACAGAACACCACCGGGCCATGTGACTTAACCGATCATCCCCGAGCTTGTACATGCAGTCTGATTGGAATAACAGCCTCTCGCCCGCAGCTATTGTGGTTATGATATCATAATGTTCCAAAACCCTGCTTCTTCTTCTTCTTCCAGTTCTGGCAAAAATCTTCTTGATCTTGTTTCGCTTAGGCACCGACTGCCGCCTGGCAACAGATTAATACTACAAGCTTAAGAAATCTCCTGAAAATGAAAGGGCACAGGGAAAAGGAGGGACCGAGAGTGAGAGCGAGAGGGGCACTGACAGAGTTTGGGGGACTGAGCAAAGAGAAACCTTGAAGGGACACTAGAGGCAAGAGCCCAGCGACACAGCATTGCACCCTGGCATCACTTCTTTGATGTTATTTTGTCATTGCCAACAGCTCCCTAATCCCATGTCTTTGGCACACTTTAATCTTGTTGTTATTCTCTCTGCCAGCCTTTTAGTCAGAGATAATCAGTTTCAGCTAACTTTAATTATTGTGATAGAATCTGTGATGATTCAATGTCACTTGTTGTCTATTCATAGAGAAGGGAAATTGGTAGTCTTGTGCTAGGCCGAGACTCCCCCCCCCCCTTTTTTTTTTTAAAGGGGCTCTTTATAGTAAATTAGCAGTAGTACTGCTCATGTTCCACCCCACAGGCTTTAATTAACTAGTCTCAGGTAGTCTGATCTTATTATCAAAGACTGCTTTTTCCCACACGCAGCCTTGCTTACAAGATATTAAGACATTCACCAAAGAGCGGCCAAAATTGTGCAGTTTATTTCTTTTTTGTTTTCAGTTGCTTTGCCACCAGAACCATTTAAACATTCCCATCACATTGCTGGAAACAAAGGGTGTATACAGCAAGTGCCATTTTCAGGATTTTCAACAGCAACAGCCGCAGCTAGATGCCAAATAAAATACAAGCTGCACAACTCAGCGGCAACATCTCAGTGTTTGTCCCACAGAGAGCCCAGCCCCATCAAACCCCATTATCTCCAAGGCTACCACTTACCTCCAACTGGAGTAGAGATAGCTGCTTATCTACTGGTTAATAATAAAAAAAAGACATATAACAGATAAAAAAAAGAAGAAGAAGAAGAAGCCATCCTATCATGACAGGGAGCAGAGATTTCCAGGGACAGTTTCATTCTGTGGAAAGGGCAAGCAGAAGGAGACCTCCCGCTGTAACGCGGCAGCCAAGCCGAAATGAAAGCCAGCCGCTCTCTTCTCCGGGGCTAAACAGCGGCCTTAATAAAAAACACAATCAGACCCCCAACCTTACAGTTTAATGCACATTCTTCCCATATTTCCCTTTGTGCCAGCAGAAAAGAAAAGGAGATGGTGGAAGCTCCTGGTGCGATTCCATCTCCCAGGCTAGAGGGTGTGCGTTAGTGTGTGTGAGTGTGTGTGTTAAAGAAAAAGACAGGATTGTTATAGTCATAATGAAGCCTCATTGAATATCAAGCACACCATCAACTCACTATAGCTCTCCATCGTGTTAATGAAATTGTTCCCCCTAACTTTTTAATTAACTTGCGCACTCGTGGTGTGGAGTCAAGTTGTGGACACAGACAAAAAGAAGACTGCCGCCTCCTCTCCCAGGTGATGTGAATTTCAAAGAGGGGAAGCTGCTCTGCATTAAGCTGACTTTCTTTATTAGGAGGGGAACTTCAGAGAGACAGATGTGCTGAGGACGGACTTGTGTCATTTCTCCCGCGTCAGTCAGCTCAGTGATACAGAAGCACGGCGGGGAGGAAAGGGGGTGGGGGGGAGGATGATAAATATGTTGCGAATTCACATTTGCGGCGTGAATTGTTTTCATAACTTTTAAATCTCCCGTTAAAAAGAAAGAGGGAAAAAAAATCAAGGATGTCTCCTTGATAGTAATCAGAGGGAGAGGAAATCATAATCATTCCTCAGCGCTGAGTGAAAACGGTACAACGGCGCTTGATGAAGGGACATTCATCACAAGGAAAGGAAGATAATAGGCAAGGCGCTGAAAGGAGAGAAAGTTCTTTTGGTTGGGTTTTGTTTTTTTCAAACACATTTCCCTTTATTGGCATGGTGAGGCTGATGAGAATTGCACATAAAAAATAAAATTCACAAGAAAGTCGTACAATAGGTAGAACCACAAAGGCATTGGTAAGGACTTGGCAGAAGGCAACGTGGATAGGACACGAACAGGTAACAACCCACAGCGACCCCTTGGCCCTCCCCTCCCTCCCCCCACAAACACACACACACACACACACTCACACACACACACACACACGCATACATTTTCCAATAAACATATTGTCCTTCCAAAAAAAAAAACAAGAAAAAAGAAAACATGATTACCCAACAAACGTTTAAGCAGTGGCAATGTCGTCCATATTATTAAAAAGTCCGCCACAGTTGAAATTTGAACCATAAGGTGTTATAATATATTGCTACTCTAGGCAATTTACAAAGCATTTTTTTTCTTTATTATTACAATGATTAAAGCCACATCTATCAAATGGGACACGACACCATTACCCAAACGCTATACAGACAGCAAAAAAGTAAAACAATGTCTTAAAAAACACAGGTAAAGGGATTTTTTTTCTTTCTTTCTTTTATTTTTTTTGGAGGGAAATCCATCCCTGAACCAATTTTTGCCTCTTTGCATCACAAAAATTAGCTGTTTCTTGTCTCCACAATCAAACTCGATGAAAGGAAGCTTGTGATCAGCAAAGCTTTTATACAAAAGATTTTTTTTCCCTTCCTGTGATGGAAGCCGGTTCTCTCATTACTTGGCTCGCGCTCGAAACGGGATATTAATTGAACCAGAAACCGCAAGGTTACCTTTTATGTCATGTCGACGGCGCTGTGATATCTGGACTGTGTGTGTGTGAGTGGGGAGGAGGGGTGCAGCATGCGATACATTGTTGAGTAGATTTTTTTTTTCTTCTTCTTCTACTAGGCTTTATAGAGCGTCATTTAAAATCTGCCAAGTTAAGAGCTGAGAGGCAGTTATCCAAAGTGGTGTATACACCGCACCGGCATGTCGTCCTGTAATAGCCATGCACTAACACAACAAACACGTTCAACTCGACACATTTTAAACACACGGGGTTGGGGTTAAGAGCCGGTCACATGTGCACTGATGTCACAAAGCAACACGTGCATTACGACATACACAGACTCAGTTACGTCTTAAAGGGAAGAGCGGGTGGGCGACGACATATTCAAGTGTTTTACCGCGCAAGGTCACGCCACGGTGACGAGATGCCGAGATGCTGGGGGGAATGGAGTCATCCTAACTACCAGCGACTGGGTAATGGGTCAAGTCCAAAAATCACACAACAATAGGAGCTAAAATACAACTCTGAAAAATAATTTATTGCTTTTTATATAGTTTTTTTCCTTTCATTTATATTATTATCATTAATCATCTTGTCATTATTGTGAATAATATTAGTAGTATATATATATATACATATACATATATATATACATATACATATATATATATATATATACATATATATATATATATATATATTGTACATCAAATACAAGATCTTTTAAAAAATTCAGGAAAAGGAAATTGTAAACTTTTGTTTGGCATTCACATAATCAAGCGTGAGTGGAGCAATGACGACGTGTGTGTGTGTGTGTGCGCGCGCGCGTGTGTGTGTTCACAACGGCACAACGAAATTCCTGCAAAATCATTTTATTGCTTCATGTTCTGTGTTTGTACGGGAGGAAAACAAACAAACGGAAGAAAAAGAAATAAACCCCAAAAGATTTATGCGCTGCAGATGTGACTGTTAGGGGAGAGGCTGACCGCTGGACTGATTAGCTGAATGTTTTGATTGTTTCGGAAAGGCATAGAAGGTAATATTATCCCCACCAAACCATTTATTGTACACCCTGTCTAGTGATTGTGAGTTAAATAACACAAATCAAAGGACATAACATAAATAGCAAATAAATTTCATGAGGTACACCACGTTCAGTGAGGAGTCCATAAATATTTTTTTTTCTGATTCAAATACTAAAATAAATAGATAAATATGTGTTTACACTGATTGAAAAGATGTGAATACAGTTTTCTCTCTCTTTGAAGGTAATCAAACAAGGACCATGCAAAGCCACATTCATATATATATATAGATATATAGATATCTATATATATATATATGTATAGAATGAAACAATTGTGTTAAAAAATGGGCTAACGTTCTTTGCAATCATGAAAAAGACGTTAAAAATGCATTTTACAGTGGCTGTATAAGCAAAAAACACCGATTGAGAAACTTTAAAAATAGACATAAACTATACATGGTTGACTGTTTTTTTTTCTCCCACAAAAAAATAACTTAAAAAAAAAAAGACACATGTTCACGTGCTCCCCCAAAACTGAGCATTCGGACACATCTTTTTTTTTTCTTCTTCTTCTTCTGTTTTTTTCTACAATCATGTCATGTCTTCTACACATCATGTAGGTGTACAATAACGCTTTTACAGTATTGTAATCACTACAGATCGACATTCTGAATTAAGAAATGTTCTCCGCATTTTTAAAAAAGGCTGCGTTTTACAGTGCATAGCTGTAACAAATAAAGAACTTTGATATTTACATAAAATAAAAATATTCCTTTTTTTTTTTATAGTATTTGTAAATACACAGCTACAATTCTCCGTTAAATGTAGACAATGATGTTACCTTGAGAATTTCACCAAACTCTTTGTTTGCGATGTAACACCGGATCCAAACACCAGATTGAAAAGGGAAAAAAAGAGGAAAGAATAAACAAACAAACAAACAAGAAAACAAAAAAAAAGACCAACAACAACAACAAGAAAAAAATTAATCTGGCCAAACAAGCTGCGTGTTTTCACTTCCTCCCCCCAAAAGAATTGTGGGTATTGTAGTGCTTGGAGCAACAACAACAAACAAAAAAAGAAAAAAAAGAAAGAAAAACAAAAAACAAAAAACAAAAACAAAAAAGAAAGAAAGAAAAAATAAAGTTCTTTTTCTTCTTTCAGCAGTAGAGTGCACCAAACCCGTGCAGATTCTGAGGGTTCACTGGCTTCCCAGAACGCAATGTCTCTTCCCAGCTCATCAGCAGCTATGTTCATGTAAACTTTATTTTTGATATATTCATTTATATTGATATAGGTCTATAGACTTATTCTTATATACTCTTTGACAGAGTGTAAAACTTCTGGTAGTCTCGTCATCAAAGGAGCGAGAAACCACCGTGAGGTATCAGAAGTCCCTCTTTGTGACAGACAGCAGGTGCCACTGAACAGGTTACCTTCTCAGGCTGTGCTGGGCCTCCCTCAGCAAACTGTCAAAATCCATGGAGTCGTACTTGCTTTTTGTGGAGGCTGGATCGAAGTCGTCTGAATGGGAGTCTGGAAATGGAGCAACAAAGATGTGCGTTTAGCGTGAGGCGGAGCTGCATTTCTTAGAAGTTGCACATAAAACAACAGAGTTCACCTTTGTGTTCTCAGAAGTGTTTGCGGTGAGGGCTCTGGGAATATTCTGCACTTACGGTCACGTGCGGCTCTAAAGTTAAACCGATAGTTTCTATGCTTCCTGTGTTTTAGCAACAGACCAATAGGAATCACGCCGCAAGGACAGAACGCACTGCTTTTCTTTATTTTTTACACAAAGACAGCAGATGTGTCCGTCCATCTCTCATAGCTCCTGTTTTTCTCGATCAACCTGATAATACATAAAGAGCATCTTATCTGTGCCAACAGACAGCTTCACAAATGGGGCCCCCCCAAAGGACTCGGCAGCACACACCTAGTGCTTTGAGAAATGGGAATGACCGTGGCAGCTGGGAGACGCCGGTTTGATCTAATGCAATGGCCAAGGGCTGGATTGTGTCACGCTGCACACCTTGAGGGATGAAAAATACCCCGCTGCTCTACTTAAAACTAATGGACAGTGTCTCTGAAAAGAAAAAAAAAAGACGAGAAGATGGGAAGAGGTTTGGATACCTCGCTATTAAAAGATTCTCCCTTCCTCTCAATCTCTTATCCCGTGCTATCAATATGGGGGCTGACCAAAATAGCCCATTCCTGACAAAGAGGTTGTCGAATGAAGGCCTTTCCATTCCAGCAGACTGATTAGTCAATCTCAGTATAATGTCTAACCTCAAGGCTTCAGGATTAGCAACTGTTTCTCTGTGTGCCATGCACTCTTTTAAAAGGCTAACGGCTTCAGGCGCGTGCTTTGAAGATGTAGAGTAACCGCCTCATTTAATGGGAAAACTGCTCTTTTTCTCTTAAAATGACCCGCTGACCCTCTCGTAGCGTCGCATTTTACATTTCTGACCTCACACATTGCTTCCAGAGCAGTCAATACTCATCTTTCACGTTGTCTCCGAGTGGAGCAGATGATCTTTTGTGTTTGTGCAGTACTTAAAATAATGGGGCACATGCTACTTAAGTCCCAACGCTGCTTCGCTTCTCAATTGTCGCCACCTTTTATCAAAGTGCATTTCTTTCCTTTTTTCACATGTCAGAAGCGGGGCATCACACCAGAAGAAGAAGAAAAAAGCCTCGATTTCACTGATAAGCTTGCATTATTTATCAAATGCGTCACTGCGGTTCGGGTTTCTGATTGAGATTCACGTGTCGGGCCAGTATAGAAGCTAAGCATGTTTACTCTGAGGATTAACTTATGTTGAATGAGTTCTGCTGTACTGCAGTCAGCTACATCCTCCACACTCTCAGCAAAGGCAGCAGATAAGCGCAGACAGAAGTAGCTGGTAGGTAGGCAGAGAGCTGCTGAGGCGGCCCCTCCCCCCAATGTAAATTATTGGCCCCTAAGTGCCGCATCAAGGATCTACCTCGTTTCAGCACCACAACAGCTGGCAGCAGATGGACTTTAAAGCGAGTGGAGGGGGTGGGGAGGTTGTGGGATTTCACCTTGCTCCCACTTTCTTCTTCTTCGTCTTTTTTTCTTGTCATTCTTCTACAACATCTCGCTCCTACTAATTTCCTCTAGCCCTGACTTGTCTTATTAATGCGATTCCCACACATACGTGAAAACACACAAGATCTGGTTTTAAGCTCAACAAAGTAAAAGCAAGCATCTCGCGTCCACATGAGTAATGGAGTCTGCCTCGTTTTGCTTCAGATACCGAGGCTACTCGTCGGCATGTTCACAGCCGACCTCTGAACTCTCTTTGCAATCTCGAGGCTTGAACGCCTGGCCGGACACATTCTGGGCTGTAGGAATTGCTATCAGTGCCGAGATGGGTACGTTTTGATCTGGAAGCGTCACTCAAGGCTTATTCGCCCTCCCTCCCCACGTTCCGCTGACAGTCTTGCGTGCATGCAAATGTACAGCACGACCGCAGGGGGCTGATGGAAAGAACAACAAAGCTGCACTCACCCAAGTCTGTGTAATGTGATTTGCAGAACTGCTTTTGTCCGCCGAAGCACAGCTCGAACTGGGGCTCGTTTGACCTGCGTAAGGTGTGTCCATTCTCAAGGGCGGCAAAGGCGTCACAAGTGTAGCGGTACGTGATGAAGCCAAAATTGTCCCTGGTCAGGAATAGAAAATAAACACGTCAGAGTGTTGCTGTGGGGCAACAATGACTCAACGAGGGTGGGGGTGGGGGTGGGGGCGGGGCCTTGTCGGTCATGACCATCGTTCTATTTATATGCGAAAGACAATCAATAAAGGTGCGTCTTTCAGGCTCCACGGGCCTAAATGCAGATGAATCGGGAGACGCTCTCAGATTGCAAAAGCTCTGTATTTGTCACCAGCCTTTGCTGTAAGTTCAGCAGTTACAGTAGACCCCCCCCCGCCCCCTCTACGGTATGCTAAAACAACACTAAAGCCAAGATAGGACACAGATTCACACAAAGACAGAACATCCTGAGGCCTTACCCATCGTCCCTCAAGTTCACTGCGCATTCCTCTATTTCACCGAAGAGTTCAAAGCGGCGCTTCAGCTCCGTCCGGGTGCAGTCGGACCTCAGTCGCCCCACGTACACCACTCGTCTCTCCTCCTGCTCGTTAAGAGGACAGACAGCGCAGAGGGAAAGAGATTAAAAGGGGGAGTCTTGTTTTTCCTTTCCCCCTTCTCCTTTCTTCACCGAGCACCTAATGAATTGGTCTTGATCACTCCTGTGGATACTGCCGGCGACTTTGGGGGGCCCCCCCTGTTTTTGTCCCTCTTTTCCATCTGTCTGTTGTGTTCCCTCTGTGATTGGTTCAGCCTGCTTCCTCTTATCTGATTGAGTTGCAGTTTGGAAGCGCCTTCAATCTGCCTTGGCACTACAATTCCTCTTTCTCTCTGCAACTCATCAAGCAGAGGCAGAGCGATTTTTATCAAATGATGCCATGTCTTAAGTTTGGGGCTGCTTCTTCCTTTTTGTGAAGTCTAAAAATAAAGCAGTGGGAGTGACTCAGCTATATATCACAGAAGCCTGCTTCTTTCTTTCTGTTTTTCTTTCCAGCTTTCGGGAGTCCAACTCACAATACACAGCAAACTTGGCGATGTTCCCTAAATGAGAGGCCTGTTAATATTATAAGGTTATTCATATCCAAGAGAGAGGAAGCATAAAGAGCAGCAGCAGAGAGCCTCGGGGCAAAAAAAACCCCCCTGCTCCCTGAACCTCAGAGGACGTGAGGGTCATAGTGGAATAATTCAGGAACAAACTGCGCCAGGCTGGCTTTTGAGTATTTTAATTGCAGCTGCTAATCATATAATACAGTTGAGGCCCGAGGCTATCGTGTATGACTGGTATTATTTATTTATTCATTCATTTACTTGCCATTACTGGGCAAGTCCATTGAGGCCTGTTGGAATTCTGAAAGCTGTCTTCGGGGCAGTAGTGACACGTATGGAAATCGGATGCCTGGCGCTAAACTCAAAGTTCACCTTTGCTCATTTGAGCTGCAGCTGAGGAAAGCAAGTAAAGATTAACCACGTGTGGCTGTCCTGTGCTTGTTGCCCTCTTTAATGTTGCACACTGTTTGGAGGCTAAAA